CAAACTTTTACATTAAAAATTTAGGGCGCCAGGCCGCCAACCTCACAAAAATGATAAAATAAAAAAGTTTCCTCAAAGAGATTCATTCTTTTTATATATCCTTTAAATAACAAGAATTGTCTTTAGAACTTCATTAAATGCCGTTTTATTGTTGAAATAATATTTCTACAACATTGAAATTTTTGGCCGCCAGGCCGCCAACTTCACAAAAATGATAAAATCAAAAATTTCTCTTAACATGATTTTTTTTTCTTTTTATATACCTTTCAAATATCAAGAATACTCTTAAGAACTTCATTATGTGCCGTTTTTATCATATTTATAACATTTCTACAACTGTAAAATTTCTGCCAGGTCGCCAGAGAAAAAAAACACTTTCTAAATGTTTTTTTTTCTTTTATGATAAGTTATGTCTTTAAAAGTTAATTAAGAGTCGTTTTTCAATTCTTTTCCAAACTTTTACAACATTGAAATTTCAAGCCGCCAGACCGCCAACTTCACAAAAATGATCAAATAAAAAAAAATCTCAAAGTATTTTTTTTTCTTTTTAATAACAAGAATTGTCTTTAGAACTTCATTAAATGCCATTTAATTGTTGAAATAACATTTCTACAACATTAAAATTTTGCCAACTTCACAAAAAAGATAGAATAAAATGTCTCAAAGTGTTTTTTTTTTTCTTTTCATATACCTTTAAATATCAAGAATACTCTTAAGAACTTCATTATCTCCCGTTTTTATCATATTTATAACATTTCTACAACTGTAAAATTTCCGGCTTTTAAAAAAATCAACAAAAAATCTGAAAGTTATTATTTTCTTTTTATATATCCTTCACATAACTTAAAATAACAAGGATTGTCCTTAGAACATCATTAATTGCCGTTTTTATTGGTTTTATAACATTACAATCGCCAACTTCACGCCGCAAGGCCGCTGGACCGCCAACTTCACGCCGTCAGGCCGCTGGGCCGTAGGCCGCGAACTTCACACATCTCTTTAGAAGTAAGACCTTTACTGTCAGTAATAACTGTGTATTGTTATGAATGGCAAGTTTTAAATTTGTAGTGTCAAAGCTTCATTCGTCGGCCATTTTTTTTATTTAGCCTTATAATCTAAGTGAATTATATCCCAGCTAGATTGAAGCAAAATTCATATTACATCGTACATTGTAAATCCTATTTTACGACATATTTTAATTTTCTAAAACGCCGATATTTTACGGTATAATGTTGAAGGTATATAACTGCTGTAAAATTCCCATAGGATGCTTCGTAAATACATACATGCATAAAATAAATCGTTTAATTATTTACACGACAGGGAATGCATGAAATAACGCCAAACTTTAAACACAAAACGTTCAATATGCAACACATCTTAAAACTTCCACTGTAAATTCGAAATTACTAATTTTAAACGAATTACAAAAGCTAGACTGTGACATTTATATACTTAATAGTTTGTATATAAACAGATAAAGGTCTCTTATTTGTTAGGTATATTTTTCGCCATTTGTATTTCCATGTATAGGTTAGTGTTTAATAATACGTATTAACAAAAATAATTGGTCAAGCCTGCCGCAGGCAGGCGACCAATTATTTTTGTTAATGCGTATTATTAAACATTAACCTATTTAATGATCAACATTATTTTTTTTCAACCAAAAACAAGGCATTTCTCTAAATCACTGATAGCTCCGCCCTTTCGCTCTACAAGATGTCTACACCTTGTCAAGTTTCTAACATGTCACATTTAGATAAGCTAAATAAATGGCCCTTTCAACATATAATCAGGCACATTTTTATTGAAATGTCACAGAATTTATACCTTTATCTACAGTAAGACTATCATGTTTCTATAAAATATCTGAAAAAAAAACAGCGAGGAAAACGATGCAATAAGGTAAAAACAATGGAGTTAATGAAATGTGTATATATTCTTTTAAAATCAATGGAAAATGTGAGAAAAATACATTAAAGATTATTAATTGTTACAAATTCGTTATAAGCTTCAAGTTATTCACTTACATTTAAAATCCCTATTGATTTGCTCATTTGAAAAACAGTTCATTTTTTTTTTTTCTGTGTATCAATTTAGGTTTACAGGTGGAGGGGGTCCATTTACAATGAGTTTTCCAGCCAAAAATGTTATTATTGTATTCTTAATATCAATGATTGTTAATGCAGTTCATTCCTATCAAGTGAAAAAAATAATGTTTTGGAAATTATAAAGTTTAAAACAGTCAGCAATTTATAACAGACATTTTTCTTAGAGTTAAACGGATATAAAAAGTTACTATGTAATCATTTGTCTCTGCATGCCCCACATGTATTATCTATGTAATAAATCAATTGATTGTATCCTCACATTTAGAATCACCTGACCTCGACTAATTTTTTTATGTTGACATTGTTTTGCTAACCTATAATTATTTTATAATTCAGAGTGTAAACCATACCTCTAACTCCTCCCTAATATAATGCATTATTGAAATTTGTTAGACTGGTTAGACGACAGATTAAGTGAATTTTATTTAGTTAGTACACATTAACCAAAGTAAGACTTAGCAGAAATTTGAAAAATACTACAATGTGATTGGACAAAAAATAATATTGATCATTAAAAAGAATAACTGGTGTGCGGAATTGAATGTCATTTGCATTTTTTTTTCAAAGTAATAAATTTAGTTGTGTAAAAGTGTTAGAAATGAAAAGCCTTCAACACTTTGAACTAAAATCAGGAAAAGAAATCGCACGCACGTACGTACGCAAAGAAAAATATCCTATTAATAAAAGTTTTTTTTTTATTGTATCTATGCAAAACATTCATTTTTTTAGTTTTTGAGGCTATTGAACCTTAGTGGAGCCCTTTTATTGATACCAGTAATTATAATGATAGCGGCGATGACAGAGACAGTAATGACAATGATCATAGCGACGATGACACCAACATGAATGACGATGGTGATGATTCAGTAGCTGATTGATTGATTGATTGATTGATTGATTGATTGATTGATTGAAAAAGTCGACAATGGTGATGACAACGATGATGATGATTAAAGTTTATTCTGCTTTGGTTGCAGTTCATGATACTTCCGATAAAAATGGATTTTCGTGGTATCTTTTTTATAAACATCTATAATACAGACTTCCTGATAAATATAATTTAATTATCCAGCAAAGAATACACCACGCTCTTGAAAACCTTACTCGCACTAAAAGATACTACCATCAAATTTTTTTTCAACAATACCACTGACATGCCATTGTTGTCAAATTTTAATTACTGTAATTCGATCATACTTTGGATCGAAAAACATAATAATATGCATTTCACTTTAAATAGTATCATATGAGATGACATTTTACATGATAACACCAGTCTGAAGAGAGTACTATTAATTGTGTAAATGCGAGTGTTAAACCGAAGTGTGTTCCCCTGATTGTGTTCGTGGCCCTTTATCGCAAATTGTACCGCCACTTTTCATGTTGATTCTTAATAATCATTGACACGCAACCTTCTGAATCTTTTGGATGTACATTTATTACATCAAAAGTTTGTAGACAGCACTTTTCATCTAACCAACCATAAATTAACACTTGATAATTGCTTTAAAGTATTGAAACGTTCAATTAGTAGCATATCAATCGTGATGTGATAGCAAGGTGAATAATATTGACAGTAATAATGTTAATTTCTTTGTAAATTTTAAAAATATCAGATTAATTCATTTGTATTCTTTGACGCATAAACAACCATTATTTCTTTTCATAACTAGGCTCTGGTGGGCTTTTTTATTATTTGGACGAAAAAGGAGACACAGTCAATAGTTTAACGCATTGTATATATGACCCCTAAAAATAACTAAATAAACTATTAAAGTATCTCTTACACCAACACCAATTACTTGATTTAAGATAGTCAAATTATCCTTTTGTGTTAGTTAAATACAAAAAATGTACCTCTAGACAATAGCGTTTACAGATTTTGCTTCCACGAAGTCATTTTGAAATAAGGCTGTTTCCACGAAGTCATTTTGAAATAAGAAGTCATTTTGAAAGTAATCTTTTATAATTATGTCAAATCTCAATCTTAAAGGGGAGTGCGGCATTTTATCAAATTAGAGTATAATTTTGATAGAGGATATTAAATTATTGTAGATTCAATACTATATTTTTCAAGGAGCTGAATACATTCATATTATGCGAGCCTCTAGCGAGCATATTTTATTTTATTCATCTCGTTTAATAAATATAGACTGAATATACACGAATATAGTATTCTATTTATCATTTACCTAGAACAAAGACTGCTCGAATTTACAAATAGACAAATGATCAAATCCTACAAATCTTTAATCTAAAATCTGGATATCGCAAATGTTCTTTTTCCTTACATTTCAAAATGCATTACTGCTATACATAGCTAGAAACTTACTACACAGAATTGATATAGAAATTAATACCAGCCAATAGCTTCTTTCACGTCTAGAAAATCTAAGTCGAAGCTAATAATTATTACTTTATAGACAGGAAACCTTACAATTTTCAGTAAGAGTACTTGTAAATGTTATTTTTGGACAGCAGGCAAGTAATCCAGTACATTACAATTACTTGAACCAAGTAATGCAGTACATTTTACCATTACTTGGACCCAGTAATGCAGTGTCATTACCATTACATTTGAGCAAATAACAATTTCTTTTTGCGAAGCTAAGATGTTTTGCAAATTGCTTGAACTCATCACTTTCAACCGTTGAGAATGTTACAAGGTCGGCAGCTATGTAGGAAATTAAAGTTTTTATGGTTTTTAACTGCTTAGGGTTGTTTGAAGGAATGTAGGACAAAACCTAACACGTCAAAACCCCATATCTCATAATTTTATAGAGTGGACAAAACCCCACACCTTCAATTTTATAGAGCATTACCATTACCCAAGCCTGCGGAGAAGTCACTTTAAAAAAGGACATAAATACCCGATTCATGATTGATCTTCGGTTATTTACTCCGACTATTCAATCCGAATTAACAAAAAGCGGACAATTATCCTACGCTTAAATGGACATAACTTTGTTAAGACAAGTCTATAAATATTGTAAAAAAGGCTATTGAGATTGATGCCTCAGTGATCAGGATAACTCTCTAAAAGTAAGTTCTTAAATGTGCTTTTTGATTTTAAAAGCCAGAAACAACCATTTATATAAATAGGTTAACATACTACACTTCAGAATTAGTCATATATTCTTTTTATTATAAGTATTATTAGCGTAGTGTAAAGCAAAGTTATATTATCTCATTCTATGTGGGAGATGGGGTATATATACAGATTCTGACAGTTTAAAGTATGTTTGTTTCACTGACAATTCAAATACGTTTTTTTTGTCTGCAAATAATATTGTATTAAAATGAGTGTTTGTTTTTAAAACATTTCTTAATTCATAAACAAGAGTGTCTGTAATGTCTGTATCTCACCTCCTACCCGGAGTGAACAGTTAATATGATTTTAAATACATAGAAATTTTATTGTGGAAATATGATCTATTTTAAATTTACATAAATAGGTTGTTTTATCCCTATGTTTTGATAATCATTACTGACCATCTATGGTGTAACCATGAATGATAAATGATTTTGTAAAACAATTTTTATATTGCGTGATAGTGCTTTTATAACGAAATTTAGTATATTACAGTATAATTTCTTATGGCAGTTTTTAAGTCGAGGTCAGTAGAGGTAATCAAACTTTTAGAATGTAAAAAGTCTATTATAATTTTGAAATTAAATGTCTGAAATAACCTCCTAAATAATGACAATGTGCAATAATGTCATCCTATTGCAATTGATTTGTTAAATAAGGGAGGTAAATCTACAGTTCATATTATACATTTCTATAATATGGACTGTGGAGTTATCCCTCTTAGTATTAGCTATAACAAGTTCGAGAATGGCTAAATACAATTTCAATGTTTTAAATGTTTTATATGTATATATGTGTATAGATGAGACTATAATAAAGAATAAAATAATTTAGTATAATACTGAAGGGTCTACGTAGACTAAAAACTTGTCGTCTACATTACAAGGTAGTGTACCTACACGCAAAAGTATTGTAACATTAGGGAAAGCAGAGGCTGTCTGAATGTACACATAAGTATTATGCGGAGACAAAACCTTACTTTTGTCATCACATATTAGGACAACGTGACTAATTTTGAATTTATAATTAATAGAAGAACTTCGAGGAATTGTCAAATTTGCAATATTAGTCCATACACAGAAATGTTAAGACACAATAATGCCGTGACGTCGCAAAACAGAGTAGCAGATGAACCTGTAACTGCTGGAGTTGGAGATGGAGGTCTAGAGCTCGAACCACCTGAAGAGGGCGCCACTCTCGAAAACCCGCCAAATAGAGAATGTCGAACTTGGTTAATAGTTCTTTCATGCGCTTTGATAAATGCGTTGCTAGGCTTTATGGAGATGGTTATAGCCGTCTCTATTCTCAAAATGTCGTCTGATCACGGAACTAACGAAATACTACAAGCAGAAATTGTATTACTGTTCGTGGCACTTGTTAATGTGTATGGTAAGTTTGCATTTGGAAAATTGACATGTATTTTTTTTATTATATTTTTATATTCATTTTAATTATAAACCATGCCGTGTCCTACTGTCTCATTATGATTGAATTGTTATTTGTTATTTCTACCATTTATTAGTGTAATTCAATGGTAATTATAATGTATAATATATTTACACTATAATAAAGTTTAAATGCAAGTTAATAATAATATACCCTAGTATTATACATATCATAAATGATACAAAGCATTTATTTTTATATTGTAAACCTTTAGATTGTTATGATAGCTATCAAAGTTAATGTGTATCTTTACAATATACGTATCATAAATCATATTAAGCGTCATATTTCAGCAATAAATTTCTTATAAAAAATCTAAAGTAGTATGAATATGAAAAAGAGAATTAAAAATAACTTTTAATGGAGGGGAATTAAAAATCGTATAATAATTCACAATCCGCACACACATATACATATATGTGATATAAATTGATTATACGTGTTTTCATCTTAATTTTTAAATGAAATTGCAGCCAGATAAAATCATAAAAATATACTAGCTTAACAATGCATTGCAGCTTTGAATATCTTGGAAAATATGGAATTACGTTTAACGTTTATTAACAACTTTATTAAGACGATTACCATGTTCGAAACAACGACTATGGTAGAATCAAATCTTTCAACGCGCATTTCAAAACTTACAAATGGGAAATGTCATAGGAGGGCAGCCAGCTAGTTTGAGTGATAATAAATGATCCAATCTAAAATAATACAAATACTATTATACAGGTTATTAAAGATGAAGAAAAAGTAATATTCAATAGATTGGTGTATTTTTCTCGTACAATTTGTGAGCGGTTATTAAATGGTATGTTTTCATTTTTTCACAGCTCCACTGGGTGCAGTTGTTATGATTCATTTTGGTTACCGGGCAACAGTTTGTATTGGAGCCGGTATCGTCATGGTAGCCGTTATCGCGCTATCTTTTCTTAAAGAGGACGACGAACACGCTGTAAAGTTCTTTCTTTATGGACCCGCACGTGAGTTCATTTCTAATGAAACGAAACTCATTACACAGAGTAAGTTAAACGTTAAAACTACAACTATAGTGAAAACGTTTTCATTTTCATTTGTTAACAAACATTTACGTGATGTTCTAAAATCGTCGAAATAAAAAAAAAATAATTGACCGATCGGTAATGAACTTTTTGATCCTGTTGATTGATTGATTATCGTTTCATAGTAACAATTTCTATATTTTGGCTTTTCAGCAATAGGCATGAGTTTCATCAAACTAGGCGCATTGATCCCAGTGTTAGAATACTTTACAACACAAAGAATGAAAGCGTTATTCTTATCAAGACTTGGGACATATGCTGCACAGATTATCTTTTTTCTCATACTAACACTAGATTCACCTGACATTAATTGGAGGGCTTATTTCAGGTACTTTTGTAAAAATGTATAGGTACTCAAACGTAAAAATGCATTTCAATGAATACATAGCTATGAAATTAGGTCAGAATGATTTGATAAACATTGTTCAAGAGTCTCTCAAATTGAATATTTAAAAGCCCTGCAAGTTCATGAAACAAGCGAATACTAAACGATCCGACTTCGGTGCTAACGTAACATTTACTTAAAAAAGCACTCGCTCTGTTTACGGTACGTACACTATATTTATATTTACCTTAAAAAACTCCTTACGTGACAGGCAGATATATCTTATATTTATTATTTAATGATGTCTTAATATCGCTTGTCAAATTAAATTTAATTATTGATCTCAGGGCTAGCCTTTTAAGATATTCAATTTTGAACACAGAATTGACCCTGAATTCTTGGTCAGCAAGATAATCGCGCTTCATTATCTTGAACCATGGACCACTGGTCGTCTGTTTGAGCATGAATATAATAAGGCAAGCTATTGATCAGTCAATTGCTTATTTATAAACAGGAAAACTACCACATTGGAACAAATTTAGAACAATAATTATTTAGTTCATTTTTGGGATGAAGTCAAATATTTCTCAGTTTATATTTAATTATCTTGAAACTGTAGAATGTCTTGAATCGGATAGCGCATGCGCGTTAAAACCGTCGCTAAGGACATGAAGTAGCTAAATATTTTGTTTCCTTATTAAATGTATGTGTATAGTTATATAATGAATACACATTTTGATAAAAGAATATTCCTATTGCTACCATTTGATATGTAGACATCGTAATAAGAAAGGTGGTTTTGTTTCACCACTTATAGCTGAATGCACTAGTCTTGTAAAAAGTTCAGATTTAACCTTTATATTTTAAGGGGCTGCACAGGGTTCTGTATCGGAATTGGATTGCTCGGCTTAACGCTACAGGAACTTAAACTCAACATGAAAGATGGAACAGGAACATTTGTTGCAAGGACCCTTGGTGTTGGAAGTAAACAAATTCTTAAGAACGCACTATTTTGGTCAACATGTGTTATATTTTTCTTTTACCAATGGGGTAATTCTTTTATTTGTCATTTTATTTATTTGAAGCCATTACAATGTTCAACGTAGGCAATAAATACAAAGCACATTAGATTTTATATATACTAGTAGTTATTAGTTAGAACTGGATTAAAACACACAATTCTCTTTGATAGATAACACTTTATTCGTTGTTTGTTCTAAAGTAAGCATAAGAACGATACATTGTTGAAGCCTAGAAGGTAACTAAGTTTCCAACATTATAGGTAAACTAGCAGTTATTTGTAATAAGTATGAAAAGACTGTTTGGTAAGCAAGCTTATTTTTTATTTGTCTCTGTTATCAGTTGTTTTTCATGGACAAAGATGATCTCAGGTCTGTACTGATCGTTTTAACAAGGTTTCTGTCATTTCTGGCTGTGAAGAAAAGTTCTATTATATATTTTTAGGCATTGAAACGCCTCAAGTTCGTTTCGCCTCACTTCCTAAACGCAATGAAATAGAGATAAAACGTGCGGGGAATCTCGTGTTCACATTAAGTCCGACCACCGGAGAACTATTTGGAATGTTTTTAGCATGGATATTCAAGAAAGTTTACTATAAGAAAGAGAGCCGGTTTGTACAATTTTAATAGACACATCAAAATTGATTCAGCTAATCCTCTAGAACGAATAAAGTTTGAAAGAACCTCCACCATTCATCGAAATCCCTATAATCATCATCACCACCATCATCATCATCATCATCATCATCATCACCATCATCATCATCATCATCATTATCATCCTCGTCGTCATCATTATCATCATCATCATCATCATCATTATCATCATCATCATTATCATCATTATCATCATCATCATTATCATCATCATCATAATCATAATCTGATGAAAATAATCAGAGCAAAACATGTATATAAAATTGCCAAAACATCATTTTCATGAAGTCACACTTAAAGTTATCTCTTTTATATTTACTTTCAGATTGCACTTGCGAACGTTGAAGGCAGACCGCATGAAAGTAGTTTTTCGTATTTCATTTGTGGCAGCATTTAGTATGTC